CCCCAAAACCCCAAAACCCCAAAACCCCAAGAATAAGAGAGGATGTTGAAATATACCTAAGATGTTATATCCTGCCAGCTGAAGTTGGCTGGCGCTCTCAGAGTGCCAACTCTTTTCGCTGCTGAATCTTTCTTCGTAAACAAATCTATCAACTCGTCCTCTCTATTCTCATTAATCCTAAAACTAACTACCCAGACTTACAAATAAGATTCGTCACTATTTTCATCAATTTTTATGATTTCTTCCCATTGACTACATGAGTTCCTTCTTTTCACTACACTCTGGTTTCCAATTTCTTGGATATTTTCATTGTCACTTTGGTTATCCATCGAATGATCTTTGCTAGAATTAATAGCTGTTTCCACTTTCTCATCTGTCTTTTCATACCCTCCGAACTGCATACCTTGCCCAAAATTATTAATCTTAGTCTCTTCATCTCTGTGGATGATCTCATTATATTTCATCATCAAAATCGAAGGCATTATGTCAGGAAACTCATTATTTAGAGATCTCTTTCCAGTCCTTACCATATTTAATCGCTAAAAATTACACTATTTCCCCACACAAAATCCTTCCCAGCTTACCTTTGGATCACAATTTGGCCTCCATTCTAGAATCAAACTTCAGCAACTTGGTCTTTTCCAAGTAGGCTACTCTGTCTCTGATCTGGATTCTGCTCCTGTTCCGCATCTTCTTGCTGATTAAGGCGAAGTTCTTCCCGAATTTAGCTATACGGTGGTGAAGTTTAGCCCGAGTTTTATGGAATCAATTACTTCATATATGATCCCAAAGTTGTTCAGAAATTATGCATTGTTATAGACCACACGAATTTTTACTATAACCTCAAATAAGGCTATTTATGTTTTTAATTTGATCTGGGTTGATTCTGCATCTTCTTATCCCATAAGACCGGGAAAGATGATGTAGAAATGATAGCAGACTTACATATCAGTTCCAGTAATGTCCCTATATCAATAATGAATTCGTTCTGGTTATAAATGAAAAATTTCTGAAAGTAAAGTAGGAGAGCAAATGCTTGTATTAAGACAACGGAAGTCTGCATAAAGAAATCATTAATAAAATTTCCAATTTCAAAACTTTAGTGATGAATTAAGAACTCTGCTGGGTCTGAAATAATAGAAATTTATAGTTCAACAGGCTAGGTGAGTATTCTGAAGTAACAAAATTCTTTAAAAGAGGCAATATATCTAGTCTCTCTTAGCCTGATAAAATTACAATATCAGTAGTTAGCTTTGGGAAGGACGATGAAAAGAATATCATTGACTGTGAATCTACAGCCATACTCCCTATATTGATTGAAGTTGTGAATTCAGGAAATAGATCTAATAATCCTGTATAGTTAGTTCTAGAAGATCAAAAGTAATGAATGACTCTAGAAGAAGGGAACAAAAGCTTGTGATGTGATTCTGTTCAAAGCCTCCAAGACAATGAAATGATATTCCAAAATATAAAATCATACAGTACAAGAAACAATTCCCTGTCTTAAAGCCTATAATCCCCGAACAAAATTTGCACTCGAACTTTTCATTCCCCCTTCATTCCAACACATCCCACACTAAATCCCTCCAAACAAGCCCTCCTCTCCCCATAATCTCCAAATTCTCAACATCCCCCCCTAAAACCACCCAAAACCCCCTTACCCCATCCCTCTCTCCCAGTCAAACTTCCCTACCCTCCAATAAACTTTTAAGGCATCTGTCCAAAAATTTACCATGAAGAACTAAAGTGGCACTCAGTGGAGAAGAAAAGTGGAGAAATGAGCAGGATTTGTACAGGAATGAGGGATTGAGGGGGAAAGAGATTATAGTATTTAGACATGAAACTAATATTTTTGACAGAAGAGGGTAATATGGAGGGTTAATTAACATGTGTGTAGATATAGTAGCACAAATAATGCCACTCAAAATTATTTCCACAGATTAGGACAAGAAAATACAAAATTTAAAATAATTTGAGAATATACCTGTCTCTTGGTAAGTCCACTCTCCTCGCTTGACTTTCAGAGAGAGGCTATTGAACTTCTCTTTACATGCAAGTGAGTGTCTGCCTAATTGAGTAGCAATTTTTGCCCAGTTGCCTAAATCTTATCTGCACAAAAGTACCTGCATATTTCCTATAATTTATATAAAACAATTACTCTTGAAGCTTAATAAGCTCTGCAATATCCTTTGAAGACCAGTGGTCTCTCCATGTGACTTCTTCCTCCCATTTCTTCAATTGCTCAAGATATGCCTGCATGATGGTCCAAGTGACCATCATTTTGAAGATCTGAGAATTATAATTGAGCAAATTGTAGGAGCCCATTCTGTAGCGGAGACTCATCAACTTTTTAACCTATTAAAATTATTTTGTGAGGATACCTCCTCTTCACGTAATTCAAAGTTTGTCTTAATCCGCTCAATTTCTTTAAAAATTAGCTCCCTACTCCTTTGAGAGCTGAAGTCTAGCGGAACGTGATGGTACCTAGCTGAGATTGAACTACCATCTGGCTTGTACTTATCCAAGATATTTTCGTCAATTAGGAGAGATGGAAATTTAGCCTTTTTGCGTACTATTTTATATTAATACATCAGTTACAAAGTGATAGCTTTTTCATATCCTTTTCAGAATTTTCAGGGTGTTTATTTAGAAGTCCTTTCAACTCATTCTTCGCTATAAGTTTTGTCGATAAATTTACTCATAACTTTCAGCTTGACTCTTGACTCCAAAAGTTGGGAAGGTTTCCATTCCAATCCAATAATTTCATCAACAGGGTCATTCTGGAAACAACATACCTTCCGATACACAGTCTTGTAGGATCCATTAGAAGAGGAGTTTAAATGATCAGTCTCCTCTATAGTTCTTCTTTTTCTCCACTTATTCTGATCTACCCATAACCACTCAAATTACCTCAATCCCCTTCTGAATCAGTCGAAAAGTTATCAAATTCACTCTCTTGCTCACCCACAAACTCAAGTTCCTCTTCAGATTCTTGGGATAAGTCTCAAGTAAATTCCTGCTTCAAGTCCTCTTTCTTCTGCTTTTTCCCGTCAGCTTGTTCATGAAATCCTCCTTCGAAGTCGTCAGTCAGATCTCTAGACAAAGTTGTGACCACGAAGTTTGTTTAAATTCCTGAAATCGTATTTATGGATTTGGGCTAAGATAGTTTGGGATTTTAGTGAGTGTGGGGTGTTGGAGTAGGGGTCCTGGATCAGCGAGGGAAAGGGGAGTTGGCAAAAGTAGTAGGGGGAGAAATGAAATGTACCCATAAATCATATTTAAGAGAGTGGGAGAAATGTTAGTTATAGTTTCGTTAGTTAATCCAACTACCTCTCTTTTCACGCCTCCATTTCCTGCATATTGCACACCCAAAACCCGATTCCACTCCATACCCATATTCTCAATTAAGCAAGCCAGAACTTACCCTTCAGTCGCTTCTGAATTAAAGTGCATCATCATGTTTCTAAATTATTTATATTTTCATTTTATTATTTGCAATGGGGTTTTGGGGTTTTGGGGTTTTGGGG